TTTAAAATATCGGCATATCGGATATCGGCCAAAATCCCAATATCGTGCATCCCTAAAAATTACATTTATGTAAATCCTGGTTTGTCGAGTCAGTGACAGGAATTTTAACATAAATAGAAAAATTACTGAATTTAATATATATGAAGTTATAAACTCCTAGTTATTTTCTGAAAATAATAAGTTTCTTAAATATTTCTTTTAAAAAAAATGTTTGAATAATTAAATGTATATAAATCAATACGATTTCAAACTGTATAAATTTGGTTTAGAAGCAACTGAGCTCATCTTCATATCTTTAGCAGGTGTCTGAGGATTCCCCTCTTCTGCTGAGCTCTCCCATCATGGAAGCTTCAGCAGCAGCCCAGGCACCGGCGGAGGCGTCCTGTTCTGCAGAGCATCAAGTCCAGTTTCTTCAGAAACAGTTGCAGCTGCAGGCACAACAAGCCCTGGCAGCTTCAGCACAGGTACATCCTTTCCTTTTATCTGTAATTTCTTTTTTGTGGCGTCTGTTTCCCTGCTGGGCCTGCATGTAAGGTACTAATTCAAAGCATAAATACAAAAAAAGATCCAGATCTGACCTCATATGAATCTTTGCATGGTATTTGTGGCTTTGCTGTCTGTAATCACATCAGCCACACATACAGCCACATTTTCACAGGCAACTTTTATATATCAGCGTTTGCTAAGCCGTTTTATGGTTCATGCAGATTATTTCCTGAGTCAAATCTGGGTTTTTTTGTGCAGAATCTGAGCTTTTCCTGCCCATTAAAATCACATTTAGTGTGAGAGAAAAGCAGCTGTAGCTCTCTGGTCTCTCTCTGTGTGGCAGGTGAGCCCAGCTGAGCTTACAGTCTTGTTTTGCAAAGGGCTCCTGTAGCAGCGGAGGTTTACTCACTCGTTGCTAGGTTTGGGCACTTTAAAACAAGCTTAACACTTCAGTGACGTGCTTCCGATTTAACTGCCAGAACGACCTAAGATGAAGCTGTAAAGGTTGATTCAGATCTATGTTTAGAAACAAAAGATAAAGCTGTGAGTGTTTTAGGTCATGGTTATCCAAACATCATGACAGCTTTCTGTCTAACCACTAACTGAATGCTAAAAGAACAAACTAACTAACTAATGACCTATATAAACCGGATGGCATTGGGTAGCTAAGTGGTTGAAGGCAGCATCCCTGTTATCACAAAGACATCTGTCTATAACACCAGTTAGGGAAAAAAAAACTTTCTGTCAGGAAAAGGAAAGACTGGAGAGACCGAAGAATCTTTATTTTCAATGGGTTTAAGTTTTTTTATTGAAGTAATGTAGTTTGGGATCTGAACACCATGAAGAGCTACAAAGCCTTCAGTCTTTGTCTTGGTATCTGCAAGTGTCTTCACTTGATTTACTTTGGACAATATTAGTGAATCTAACTAGAAATCTTTGTTTGATTTCGATACAAAGATTCAGACAGAAATCCAAATTCTTGCTAAATTTTGTTTGTCTTGTGTACCTTTTTGCTGATTCCATTCAATTCAGTTTATCTACATAGACCCACAACCAAGATTATTAATATTAAGACTAAGAATGGGGCAGGGTTGGCCTCATGGTTAGAGCAGTGCACTTGTGCTCTGAGAAGGTTGCAGGTTCAATCCCTACAGCCTGCGCTCTGAGTTCCTGAGCAAAACCCTTAACCCCACACTGCTCCCCTGTAATGAAACTGTAATAAGACTTTTTTTTTTTAAACAAACTAAAACAAACTGTATTTAAGGGAGAATGTGCTGAGTTTTTGTTTGTATCTTCAACTTGACTCTTTAAAGCCAAGTGTATCATATTTGATGCAGGAGATTTTGAAACCTCTGCATCATCAGTGTGATGTTTTTGTTCTTGAAACCTGGACTTACATAAACAGACACATGTAGTCAACAGAAAACATATAAAAGATGATATAGAAATGCGTAACATATCAAAATAGATGCAAATAAATAAGTTAATTCAATGTTTTTACAAAATGTATATAGTTATTTCTTTTGTCACAAAGTTCAATGACAATGAAAATTAGAATCTTCCGTCAATTATTTCCTGGTTCAGGCTTTAAAGGGACAATGCATTAATTGGGTAGTGGAGGCCTAGTGGTTAGGAGTTAGCAGTCAACAATGCAGGAGTTGGCAGTCAATTCCTGCAGACTCTGGGTCCCTGAGCAAGACCCTTAGCCCCCACACTGCTCACCGGGCACCGCAAAATGGCAGCCACTGCTCCCCAAGAGGATTGGTAAAGTGCAGAGAGTCAATTTCTCCAGTGTGGGATTAATTAAGTTAAATTATTTATTTTATTAACTATTATGACTAATATCAGGTCAGTTACTGTTTTCGCTTTATTATTTTTTTTATTGTACCACATTATGTCATCAGATGGCAGAACGGCAGTCGGGTCATTTTGTGTTGCTACGTCGGTCTGTCCTTATCTGAGATTTTCTTTCTTTTTTTTTATTTATATCCTGCCCCTATATGTAAATCTTATTTCATAACAGATTAAAGCTATAATTAAAACTATTAAAAAACGTAACCAAACTAGCTAACAAATAATAAAAACAAATGAAATAGAAAAGAATGTCAAGTGACTGATACAGACATGTTAAGGCAGATGCAATACCAGTTATTTGACATTGATCTAACCAATCCCCGCCATGTGGAGCCGATAAATTAAATGGTTATATCGATTATTCAGAAAATGCCATGCACAGATTCCCAGGCCAGTAGCCTGCACTCAGATCACAACTGCACAAAATAAAACTCTTCAAATCTATTCTGAAAGAATGAGAATCAGAGCTGCATTTATGTTTAAAATTAAACCCATTAAATCATGTTCTGTATTTTTGTTTATTTATTTATTTTTTTATATATACTCTAATAACCCCAGAGGGAAATTACTTCTCTGCATTTAACCCAACCCCTTGGGAAGCAGTGAGCTGCCATTGTGCGGCGCCCCAGGAGCAGTTTTGGGTTAAGGGTCTTGCTCAGGGACCCAGAGTGGCAGTCTGTGGGAGTGGGGGATCAAACTCACAATTTCAGGATTCAAAGCCCTATGCCCTAACCACTAGGCCACCACAATTCATACTTGCAGCCAAACATTTGATTTAGAAACATTAGACTGCTCTTCAGTGCTTTTGTAACGGAGGATTATCAGCCAGCAGGAAGAAACAAAAGCTCAAAAACGATATTTTTTACTCCATTAAAATAAAACTCAAACATCAATACGCAATGTCAAGATTAAAGCACATATTTTTTATTTCTTCTCTGCATAGGTAATAGATTAGTTATTTTGCCATATAGGGCCACAGGCAAAAATCAACTATGAAAACAGTTAACGGATCTTTACAACTGAGATGTTCCCAAAAGAAATGGTGGAGAATAAGTCAGTCAGTAAGTCTTAATCTTATGTTAAAGGGTGAGAAATTCAATCTGTGTGTGCACTTTGCTTTATTCCTTAAATGCCATCTTTTTAGCAGAAGTTACAGAATAAAAGGAAATCTTTTAATGTTTTTGTGTACCCAGGTTCACGTCCTCCAGGAGCAGCTGTCGGTGGAGATGTGTGCACGCACCGAAGCCCAGGCCAGAGTCCAGAGGCTGCTGCAGCAGAACACAGACCTTCTGCAACACATTTCCCTGCTGGTCAAACAGATCCAGGAGCTTGAACTCAAATCTACAGGACAACTAACATCTAGTGAGTGGTGATTAGCTTTGTTCATCTGCTTATTTTATTTCCCATTTTGTTTGTTTTTTCTCTGTAAGTCTTCAAACCCCTAACAGCCCCTCCTCCAGGTTTAATTTTCTCACCGACACCTCATCATCCGGTTATAGCTCCCTTTTATCATCCTCTGCTGGTATGCAATTAATTATCCCACGACAGACATGTCATGGAATCCAGTAAATATCTGTGTTTCCCTTCCCCTGCATCCATTCCGCAGCGATAAGCTACCATAAATTAATTACTTGTGAAACCCTGTCAGCGCTGTCACCGTCCCACTCTGCATATTTTCTTCGTCTCTCCTGAAAAGATTTATTGGTCTTGTTTTCCGTCTCTATGCAACTCATGCTGTGACTTGCAAAAGTATTTATACTTTAAAACTTTTTTTTATATGTCATCACTTTAAATTCAGTGTATTTCATGTGGATGATCTATAATAAACTAACTCACAGCAGGACTTCCAAATGAGGTGGAGGAATAAAAAACACTTGGTTTTAGAAACTTTAAAAAAAAAAAATTCACTGCTGGATTACTGTTGACTCTTTTACTTTGATGTCCCTAAATAAAATCCAGCACAGCCCTAACCTTCAGAGGTTATGTTGGGTTCAAAAATGTAGGTTTTGTAAAAGAAGAACTTGAGTCTACACAGGAAAGAGATTCAAGCAACTTCTGCAGGAGGGGAAAGAAAAAGCCCAACCTAACTTCAAGCTTTTTTTTCACCGAATCCCCTCCTGCAGCCATCTTTTATTAACAGAACATTGGTTACAAAACAGTATTTGTTCTGACAGAACAATTGATCAGTTCATAAAGACAGGATGCTCCACCAGAATGACAAGACAGTCAGGTCTCCTGACTGAATCACAAGACAGGAGTGGAGCATCCCCTTGCACAAATGTTTCATAAGAATACATTAATTTTATAATCATCATTGAATAAACCTAACAGGTTACCTTATGATTAATTTAATCTCAGTATAAATCTGTCTGATTTAGGGCTGGTCATTAATTGCTTTTACAATGTAACCGCAATTTAACAACATGCAATAGTCATTATAACATCAGAGCCGTTATAAAGTCCAGCTTTTTCCACTTAAGGCAGCTAGCCAAAATAAAACCCATTCTTTCAAAACAACATTTTGAAACAGTGATCCATGCATTTGTGACCTCACGGCTGGATTATTGCAACTCACTTTCTACAGGGGGTCAGTGATTTGTATATTTCCCAACTTCAGAGGGTTCAAAATAGCCTCGTGAGACCATCCTGATCTCACGACCTTTCAGTCTCAGACCAACTCTTTAAAAAAAATTTCATATCTTATATGTATTAAATAACCGGGAGACATGACAACAGATTCTGATAGAAATTTAAATCTTACTCAGATCAGATAAATTGCTTAGGGTTACAGAATGACAGCTGGTCACCTCTGAGCTCACCTCTCAGGAAGTTGCCCTGATTAACAGTTAAAAAGGCATTTTAAACATCTCCAGTCTTCCATATCATCATATTTTACTTCAGACACATCATCAGATGATTAGACATCCATGGCTCCAGCCTTATCAAAATATTACGATTCGTTCTTAGCTGAAGGACATCGCTCTCATTCCATTTCCAAATCTTTGCCACGTACAAACTAAAGATTATAACTGCATATCTAGACAGAGGAACTGTCCTAATTAGATTAAAATGTTGGTTCTGACGCGCCACAGGCAGCCCATACCAGGGTGTGATAAACTCACACATCTTCAATGATAATTATCCTAACACTCTGTTAAAGTCAAAGC